ACAAATATATTAATCAAGAGACAGAGTTCCCAGTGAGTCTCCCCACCCCTCAGGTCCCAGGCTGCTTCAGCAGTCACCATTCTGGAATCAGAGCCAACAACCAAGTGCATTTTGCCCTGGGGCCCAATAGCCCCAGCATCTCCACATCCTTGAGGCCCCCTCATGAAACCAGATCCCTGGCACCCCAAGCAGAGTATGGAGGCCACCCACAGGACACAGGGAGTCAGTGTACACACTTACCAAAGCCAAAAAGCCAGCCAATCAGGGCCTTCTGCCACTGATGGTGGCCCTGCTCTCTACAGTGGAGCATCCATGCACCTCCCACAGGGTCACTGAGTCCCTCCATGGCTCCAGCAAATCTGCGCAATCCGATGCACCACAGCAGGGAAACTGTAGAGTGCATGCACACCTCTCTCAAGGGCACAGAGCCCCATATGCACAGCCAGTGAGCCTACCTACAGCTACCCACTACAGCTGGAGAGCTGCAGAGGAATGCATCACCTCCCTTGGGGGCACTCCAGCTACAACTGCAGTGGCCTTGCTCAGAATGTCCTACTCCAGCTAAAAAGCTGCAGAGCACCCCAGCATCACTCTTGGGGGCCTGGGGCCCTGCTTACAGCCCCAGTAATCTCACCCACTGTTGCCCACTTCAGCTGAGGAGCTGTAGAGTGCCCCAATGCCTCCACTATCAGTACAGGGCCCACCCAGTAGCACCAATGACCCCACCCACCCAGAATTGCCCACTTCAGCTGAGGGGTTGCTGAGCACCTTGCTCTCTCCTTCAAAGTCCAAGGTCCTAATCTTGACCCCAGCAATCCCATCCAGGGTCACCCATTTAAGTTGAGGTGCTCCAGAGGACCCCAGTGCATCTATCACGGGCAAAGGATCCAGCCCAGGGCACTAGCAAGCCTGCCCAGGGTCACACACTCTGCTGAAAAGCAGTAAAGAACCCCAGCACTTCTTCCAAGTACTCAAGACCTTGTCCACAACCCCTACGACCCAGCCCAGTGTCACTCACTTCAGCAAGGAGCTGCTGAGTTCCCCAGCACCTAGGCCATGGAGGCACTCAGACAATCTGACACTGAAAAAGTCAAAGAAACCACACAGAGACTACACTACTGCATTCACTTGGAAACAAAACTAAAACATTCTACCCAACTGTCACTATAGACCACATCTACAGGTACGAGTCACTCCCTCCAAAAGCTATTCCAGCATATTAGAAGAAGTGACTCTTCCACAAGATGCCCAGACATCAACATAGGGA